ATTTGCGGTAGTATTTGGACCCCCGGAGCGCGCGTTTGACGGTCGACTTGGACGGGGTGCCTTGGTCGCATGTGAGGGACCGCGCCAGCTCGTTGTGCGTGACCTTCGGGTTTTTTTTAATTTGTTGTTGAAGATATCGGAAGTCAGGTTCCGTGATCATCTTGGTACGGTGTCCTTTTGGGAGAGACTTGAATGTTCGTTGCGTACGGAACTTCTCAATTGTATAGTCGATGGTTGAGGGCGAGCATCCGACCTCGCGCGCAATCGCTCGTTTAGACATTAAGCCCGCGTCGACCATTGCAATGATTGCAGATCGCTGTTCTGGCGTAAGATCTGCATCCTTACGCCGATTCCCGCTAATTTCACCCAAAATTGAGCGTTCCATCATTAAAATTGATGAAGATATTGATCATCTAAGATCTAGAGTCGTTTTGACGCGTCTCGTGGTTGTTGGGGCCTGTGCACGATTTGACCGGATTACTCTGACCCCTCACAGTATAGTGACGCCACCAAATTCATTGCTGCGCTATCCTTGTACGGAGCAATCAATGTATGAATGTATCCAGAACGGGCGAACGGGCGTTCTCTCACCGCAACGCTTCCAATCGTGCCTGCAGACCAAATAATGTTACCAGGCCTGGAGATTGGTGGTGGTGTCTGCCCTCTCGTAGTGATAAGGAACAGTATAAGTTGAATCTCTTCCATGGGAGCATAGCCTGTGCAGGTAAACACCATTTATACACAATACTTTGTTCCTGCCCCTCGTTGTCCCCCTTCACAGTATTAACTCCTTCCAGATATAGATGCCATGACTTCATTAAACAGAATGAGGGGACTGAATGACATCTATCAGCTGGGAGACCCCTCCAGGATCGTACGGATCTTGTCAGCCATAGCATTGCTGGTATGTGCCGCAACCTTATCGAGAACCGTTTCTCGTGGTTTCCAGCTGCTGATAATCGACGGAGTGCATAGGCAATCCTCTATCCCTTTGCTCTTGCCGTGTATAACTTATATCTTCATCCACTTCGCAAGGTCCCCGGACCCAAACTTGCAGCAGCAACCAAACTACCCAAGATATGGCACCTGGCACGCGGCGGGACCCTCCACTGGATCACCCAGGTACACCACGAGTACGGTCCCATTGTGCGTGTCGGTCCAAACGAACTTAGCTTCATCGATGCGCAGGGCTGGAAAGATATCTACGGTTTCCAGCCAGCAGGCAAGGCTGGGAACGCCAAAGATCCAAAGTTTTACGACTTCGCTTCCGTGGACGAGACGAACCTCGTCAATGCCAATGATCAAGATCACGCGCGGACGCGCCGTATCTTTTCCAACGCCTTCTCTGACAAGGCGCTGAAGGAGCAGGAGCCGCTTTTGATGAAGTATGTTGACCTCATGGTGCAAAAGTTACATGAGAAGGTGGAGGCGGAACCAGACGAGAAGGTAAATATGGTGGAGATTCTCAATTTTACCACTTTCGATATAATGGGTATGGTCCGCTTCTACCTGCTGTCAACACATCGCTCACCAGCCGAACTCAGGGGATCTTACCTTCGGCGAACCCCTCTACATGCTCCAAAACTCCAAGTACACCCCTTGGGTCACCACCATATTTAACAGCCTGAAGGCAACAACTATGCTCCAGGCGATATCATTTTTACCCGTAGTATCTAGCCTCGTCAACCTTCTCTTAGGCCGCTTCATCATCCATGCGCGTAACGTCCACTTCAGATACTCTACCGATCGCGTCGACCGCCGTCTTGTCACGCAAACCGACCGCCCCGACATATGGACCCTGGTGCTACGCCAGGTGGGAGAAAAGGCACTGAGTTTGGGTGAGATGCACGCCAATGCTGACTTGTTCATGATTGCGGGCACGGAGACGACGGCGACGCTGCTCAGCGGCCTCCTTTACTATCTTCTAATGAATCCAGAGAAGATGAAGAAACTCAAAGACGAGATTCGAAGCGCCTTTCAGTCGCAGCAGGACATTAGAATGGGTGGTTTGGTTCGGCTCAAGTACCTTCACGCTTGCATTGAAGAAGGCCTCCGCATGTATCCGCCGGCGCCCACAGGACTTCCAAGATTGACACCACCTGGAGGAACCGCTATTTGCGGCGAATGGGTTCCAGGGAACGTAAGTGCGGACAGAAAGGCATCTTATCATTTCTGACCTTCTCCTAGACCACTGTCTACGTGACACCATTCACTGCATTCCGTTCAGCCACCAACTTCCGCAATCCGGGCGATTTTATTCCTGAACGGTGGATTTCATCCGACTACGATTCGGATAACAAGAGCGTGCTACAGCCGTTCTCTGTTGGCCCGCGCAATTGCATCGGCAAGAAGTATGTTCCATTGGCTGATTCCGTCCAACTGGATGCGGTAGTTCTGACTGTTTGATAGCCTTGCCTATCACGAGATACGGCTTCTCCTGGCAACGACGTTGTATCATTTTGATATGACTCTCTGCGACGAAAGCATGAACTGGTGTGACCAGAAGGTCTTTGCGCTTTGGGAGAAGCCGCCACTTATGGTAAATCTGGCGTTGGCGGGTCGCTAAGGGGTAATCATAGCTAACCTTCAGATGATGAAATTTAAATGCATTGAAGCTATTTATGCTACATTGAGTGTGATAATGGGAAAATAGCGGGAATAGCATGCTCTCTAATTCTTCGCTTCCATACTAATTACTCCGTATACTGTCCATTGTCATACTCGTCAACTCCTTATCTACGATTGCTTCGCTCATAAGACTATCTGGGACTTTGGAAATTAGGTAGTAGCTCTGAGTCTTGAGACCATACCTCCAGAGTTCCGAAACCTTTGACGCAGGGTCACAGCAAGCTCCCTAAGCTTCACCGCATATGGATTTGCATTGAGTCTACTCATCTCCCCCAGGAGCATCTGATACCTTCACTAATTTCGAGGGACACTGCACCCAGTAACCCTTAGCGAAATCGGCCATGTAGCGTTCTTCACTTCAGGTATTCGCGGAGCATGTCGATCGCACCAGGAGTCTCCGCCCAGGAATTGTAGCTTTGCTGCACAGTAAGGTTCGCGTGCGCCTTCGATCCAGGCGCGTACATTTCCGGGACTGAAGCCAGTGCTTCACGAGGAGAAAGCATAGCGGGCCAGAAGAACTCGTTCATCTTCGCGATATTTTGGATGAGGCCCTGAACCTGCCTCTCGAGCTTGATTATCTGCACACTGTGATCTCCACTGGCCATCATTTCCGGGTTTCCGGTCACGATTGAGCTGGTGACAAGTTTTCGAACTTCTTCGTTGGCGGTCGGAGGTGCTTTGCCTCCAGCGGAAGCCGTTGCATGATCCAAGGCGCGGAGACTTTGGAGAAGTCGAATTTTCAGTAGTGTGACCGCCGCAGCGTTTGATATACCGACTCCGAAGTGTGTGTCGAAATAGTCAGCCTCCTCGAACGCGTCAGCGCCCTTCACATCAAGGTAGGGATTGTCCATGTTTCCCCAATCGTAGGTGCTTGACTGGCCAGTGGTCTGCCACCATTTAACAAAATCGTAGCAGTCCTGGTCACGCCCCAGACGCAGATATAGCGACGGCATGTAGTCCCGTACCCCTAAGTTGTCGCCACGACAGAGTTGGAGCATGCCTTCAAGGTGACCCAAAGCAGCTCCTACAGCTGGATAAGTCTTGACTTGCAAGAACTGCTCTACCAGCGTAAACCGTGCGCGCATGTACGGGCGGGTGGACTGGATTTTCCAGAACTTCCCTTTGTACGTATCGAAGATATTGGTGAGCTCTTTGTTATTGCCGTGCCAGTCGAAGCCGTCCTTTTCGAGAGCATTGGGCAGATCGCTCTTGATACGCTCATATGACGTGCGAAATGCCTTGATAGCTTTGCAACCCGATTTGTGGGCGGGCCAATGGATGGCCTGGTGCTCAGAGCCGCAATAGTGGAGGATCCTACAACCCGAACATAGGGAAAGGTCGGTCGTGGAACCACACAAGACACATTCTGGCTCGAGGGGAGCACACTCTGCGCTTTCTCCTGGGAGGGAAGACATTGTGGCAATGAGTTGACTTCTAAGGATAAACAGTATGTTAGCAGATTATAATCGACATCCATAGCATGGAAGAAATTGGTTAAACGCCATTCCATCTGTGCTATATTAATAGTAGACAATCATTACCTGAGACTTTGCTCCAGGGGAATTCAGTGAAATTTTGAAATCTCTCGACCCTGTAGTAAACGGGACTGCAGAATGGATATCCGATTGAATATTGAAGTTCAAGAGCAGTCGGTATATTGGAATTGGCGCCGAAATATTCAGTATTAGGTGTTGCTTGGAAAACGGAAAAACAGCTAAATCCCAGCATGCGGCTAAAAGACGCGGTGAGCTAGTTGTACTACCAAGAAGCATAACTACTGACTAACTTAGCTAAATCTAGATTAGCTTGACACGATCTGGACGCGGTTGCACGTGCAGAGCATATGTCCATCGCCAGTTCGCCACCCACTTTATGAAAGCAGTCTGAAACCATTCCAACCTTTAATCACTATTAAGGGTTCAATAAATGGCTGGCAATGACGTGAGACGTCCAAGTGGATTCTAACCGATATATGCACACCCGCTACATAGCCTAGGAGTAATGACCTGGTGTTTATTCGCCCTAAATTTCCCTTCGTTTCCCAACAGGATGTGGCATATTGGCCAGGTTACTGCTAGCAAGCATGATTGATCCCTAAACTCGTTAAGGAGCGCTGAAGAAGAGTAGCAGACGATGAGGTATATCCTACAGTACTATCGGAGAGTACGACCATGTGAAGTCCAGCGAACGATATTTACGTGAAGCACCCCAAACTCGCGAACGATGGTGATACAAAAGGGACTGTCGTGCATGCAGCGCTTTCGTTCCATGAAGCCGATATCCTGGAGCTTCTAATAAGAACTCCGCAGCCAAATATCGTTCGATATCACGGCTCCGTTGTCAAGAAGAATCGCATTCTCGACCTCGGATTGGAACGGGATAGCGAAAGGCTAGCCCAACGGCAGAAAGACAGTACATAAGATATCGGCAAAGATCAGTGCTTCAGTTCCATCAGTCAGTTGTTCGACAACTTTGATGGTCTAGCACAACGACCTCACTACATCGCATATCATGGTCGACAGAAATGATCTACCTATCATGGTTGATTTCGGATCTGGTGAGCCATTTGGAAGGAATTCGTCTCAGCAGACAATCTGGGATGGATCGAACGGGAGTATCCCACGTCGGAACAGCAGAGCATGACACGTATGCCTCGGAGCAAAATTCAGGGCCGTATAAGTGACAGCTCCGGCGTACCTTCAGATATCGAGAATTAGGGGCTCATATAGAAATATCAAGAAGTGGTCGGCACATATCCTGTTAAGATCCTGACGGATTGGCAATAGCCATGCTTTTTATCGAAGAAAATAGGATCCTCAGGACCGACCTAGAATTGTGCTTTTTCATCCAAAAGGAGAGACTCATAAGACGTGATATATAATTTGTTCAGCGACTCATCCCGGTTGCATAATAGCTCTCACATCCCATATTAACACACGCTCGTCCCATCCACAACTCGCACACCATCCTTCAGCGCCAAACAGACACCAATCGACTCCCGTCACAAACTCCGTATGCCTCCCCATCCTCCCCATCTCTTTCCCAGGCCCAAGGAACGGCGCGTCAGGTTTTTGCATTCCTTGATCCACCCCCATCGCGCTCCCATCCGTCCACACCCGACAGGTCATGTCATAGCTCGCACTGAGCAACACGTCCGACAAATGCGGGCTCCACGATATCTTCCGGACTGCATATTCGTGACCCGGAAGCACGGCGACAGGACCCTGCCCCGGCATGCGGATATCGAACGTCCGGATCGTCCGGTCCACGCCGGCCGTCGCGACGACTGTATCTCGGTATTTATTCCAGTCGTGCGTAAGCGCCTCGCTGGGCGGTATCCCCATCGGAGGCGCGCGACCAGGCATTGCTTTCGGCGGAGCGTGGATCGGGATGGCGGCGGTCAGGTGGTTGGAGGCGGAAGCGGGGGTTCGCAGATCGAAGAGTCGCAGGCATGAGTCGGAGCTGACGGCGCTGAGGACGGAGGGGTTGTGCGGTGAGAATTGAGCGGAGTAGGTGCAGCTATGGATGGGGAGGGTGAGGAGCGATGATTGGTGATCTGGGCGCCAGATCTTGACGGTACCGTCCCATGAGGAGGAGAGGAAGGTGTCTTTGTTGATGAGGTTCCAGTCGACGGAGAAGACTTCTCGTGCGTGCTCGCTCCAGCTGGCTATGGGGAAGGAATCTAGTGATATGTCGAATAGTTTGATCGAGCCGTCGCCGCCGGCTACGACGATTTGGTTTTCATGCGCTTCGGACCATGCCGTATCGAAGAGGGAATCCTGTGTGTCGAACCTGAACTGCTCAGCACCTGTCTCGCGGTGGTTTTACACAACCAACTCTCACCATTTCTCTGGGGCAGCGCCGTTGGCATTCAAGCCCAGCACATAAAGTCGGCCATTGCCAACCAGGCCAAAGTTTGCCGATGCCGCGACTGCTATGCGGGAGTCGAAGAATGGCGAATACTTGATGCTGTAGCCATTGAATCCTTGGGTTCGGAATTCAATCATTGTGGCTCACGGTTCTCCTGTCAACGGAGAGAACTGGTTTATCTACGCTGATCAAGCATACTGTCAATTGGACGACATGTGTAACTGCGGGGAGCTAAACTGTGACGTGGATAGTGTACATTCCGATTTCCAGACCAGATCAGATGCCTTCCGATAATGAACCGAGGCATAACATGGACAGAACCAGATCTGATGGATTTTAGACGCCAAGGCTCATTGATACGGCGGACTGTTAATAGATGTGTAATAGTCCGCCGTAACAGGTCGATCGCACGTGTGTTCGTGTTGTGCTCGTGTTGCGCGCGTATTTCGGTCGGCTTGCTTTTAAACTGACCAACAATATCTCATCGAGTCATCTTTTCCGGATTTTTGGAACTGGGACTTTAAAGCTTAAGAATGTTGTCGATCTGGGTCGATGAAGAAGTGGTTGCCCTTTATGGAGCACTTCATATTAAGGAAACGCCGAAGAACAAGTCCGATCCAATATGAAAACAAAACTACGGAAGAAGAAGAGAGTACAGATTTCAAGCTCGCCATCCTCTGCTCTCAATATCCGGAACTTGATGAATCTGCGTTATTGGAAACCTTACTGGCTTGTGAAGGGTCTGTGGAAGCGGCATCTGAAGCTCTAGAGCACGGGGATACGTTTCGATCGCCTAAGAAAAGAGACGGGAGCAGGGCTATACAATCTTCATTGTCGTCTTTTGGAATGCAAACCACCTCTGCTGGCCTATCTGCGACCCATGCTAAGAAGAAGCTAACTAGAAAGGGTCGTACACTCCATCTGTACGCTCCAGCAGACATTGAAGCTCATACGCCGTGCTCCATCATCCATAACTTTTTGCCAACTGAGGAGGCAGACGCCCTTCTAAAAGAGTTGCTCCAGGAGGCAGTTTCTTATCAGTCCGAGGTCTTCAAGCTTTTCGACAACGTCGTTCAATCTCCCCATACCAATTGCTTTTACGTCGACTCGTTGGAAGAAGCTCAACGCCAGAAGACAGAGTACACCTACAACGGCAGTCGAGTCAAAGATGTTCGAGAAATTACACCTGAAATGCGCAAAGTCAGAGCCAAAGTACAAAAAGCTGTCAATACCGAGATCGAGCGCCGTGTCCGCGACTATTACCCGGAAGGAAAGAAGCTGAAGTACCAGTCTCCTCATCCGTGGGAACCCAATGCAGCTTTTGTCAACTGCTATGACGGTCCTCATCAGAGCGTGGGGTATCATGCTGATCAGCTTACCTACTTGGGCCCTAGGGCAGTAATCGGAAGTTTAAGCCTTGGTGTCGCACGCGAATTCCGAGTCCGGCGTGTGCTTGCAAAGGACGACGAATCTGAGTCGGACAATAAGACCTCCAAACCCAACGAAAAACGCGCTGATGCCGAGGGTCAAATTGCCATTCATCTTCCTCACAATTCTCTACTAGTGATGCACGCCGAAATGCAAGAGGAATGGAAACATTCGATCGCGCCAGCACAAGCGATTGATCCCCATCCACTGGCACAGAACAAGCGGATCAACGTCACTTACCGACACTACAAGAACTTCCTACATCCTAAATATACACCTCTATGCAAATGCGGCGTGTCATGCATTTTGAGGTGTGCGATGAAGAAACCGGAGCATCGCGGTCGATACATGTGGATGTGCCATACCAATTATGCGCCAGGAAAGGAAGGGTATGTATGATTTGAACCAATATGAGTTGTCTATTGACATTGCATAGCTGCTCTTATTTCAAATGGGCCGAATTCAACGATGATGGAGAACCGGAGTGGGCCACTTCTGTTAACAGAGAGCAATCTAGCCCTAAAGAACAATGAGAAGGGGCACGATCCGTGTGTTGTCCTCGGCTAGCAATCTGTTCCGCTGATCGAGCAACCTATTGTTACCAATATCGAATGCTATAGCGGCATGTGCAAAAAGGTTTGCTGAAACCGAGAAAGCGTTCCTGATCCAATTGGGCATTGCGTTATCCTCATCCTTTTTCAATGGGCTCACTGCGCAAATATATCGAAATTGATGAATCCGGTGTTCACACGCCGCCACAGTACCAGCCTCAGTTCATGATCCGTGGTCCAAATTTGTTCATCGAATCTCTCGGCATCTATAATATATCTAACAATATAGTTGAGTTGCTCGAACGCGTGGACAATAACCAGGTCATATACCCAAGCCATAGCGTTTTCCCACCTTTTGGCAGTACGATGTACGATGGAATTGTGCGTGCCGGCACCCGAAAAGCTTGACAATAACTTTGTAGGACTGGTTTCTGTGTTTATGAAATTCCAAACGCCGCCCCTGTTGGATTTGGTTCTCCATATGCGAAGACAGCCCCTTTGCCGATCTAGTCCTCCTCTGACTATTTTTATTGATTTCACTTTCAACTCTTTTTCAAGGTGATATCGCAGTTATTAAACTTGCTCACACGTCAACTATTATCTGTCACTGAGTACTTTACCCCACAGTCTTTATCGGGACGATTCTAATCTTGCGCATGAAGATGCTGCTACAGGACATTGCCGTCATTCCCCGGGATGAACTACGTCCTTCAGTGTGATTCTTTTTTGAGACATCTTCGGACCTTGTTAACTCAGGCTTATGGTGGGGTTGTTACACTCCTGTTACATGCAAAATGGTGTCCTGGGACCCCTGTTGAGGTTTGTTTTAAGTTTATATGAGCCGCGACCTATCAACTCAATCAACCCGGGAAATGCACAGACCCCATCATATATTGTTTCTTCGTCTAAATGATATCTATATTGATTTCTTTCTATTGTAATTGCAAAGGCTTAGCAAAACTAACATTGAGCAAATTTTGCCTCATATGGTTCATAGGACCCTCCTTCAAGCTTTGAGCCTAGTCTTCCGATTGAACGATGGCTTCCTAAGCAAAGCTTCTTTTATACAAGGCTTCCAATCTCGGCACATACTGGCCAATTGCGATTATGCCACGACTTCATGTACCGACGGATGGGAGGCGTCAGTTCTCTCGTTCCTTGCATTGCACACGATCTTTACCCCAGACGATGGATGATTCCTGGGTCTTAACTGGATCTTGACTTGGCATCCCGATTGTGCAAGTAATCTCGCACCCTGCTGTCGACTGTCGTACTCGGACAGCCGTACCGTCCACTAACCAAGTGCTACCCCATCTATCGCAGGGAGTTTGGTATTATAGTGTTAGTACGGGATGTTACATCCATCGTGGCAATGCCTGGCCTGAATGTCGATCATCCGTCACTGATATAATAACCCAATTCCCAATGGCTCCTTGGATCCCACTGATTCTTCCATTGTCTAGCTCCCTTCCACTCTTTCAAGGGTAATTTAGTTTTGATACGCCCTGGAGCTTTAACCAGTCACTCACTACATTCCTTTCTAATTCTCTTGCGTGGCCGTATTCTACTTCATCATGGCAATGAGGACGGCACTGCTGGGCGTGGCCCTCCTCACGGGCCTGTCGATGCAGCATGCGGCAGTCATGCCTCCTGAGGTTGACAAGGTCCTCACCCCGAACTCTTCTGAGGCACCTCCAGGGTGCAAGCTGCTGGCTTCTGACAAAGGCTTCCCGAGCAACGAAACTTGGGCATCCAAACTTCCAGGATCGTACCCCAAATCTTGGGGTACGAAAGGCCCCGATTTCAACTTCGTTGCCAAAAATGTGGAAGACGTACAGAAAGCTGTCAATTTCGCAAGCGAGCAAAATGTCCGCCTCACGATCATCACCACTGGACATGATTTCCATGGCCGGTAAGTGGATGCGTACAGATATCTATGATTTTATCTAACTAGTCTAGTGAAAATGCTCGATCAGGTCTCCGGCTGGACGTGTCTCAATTAATGGATCCTATCGTCTTCCAAAACGGATGGACTTGTGGCCAATCCATCACTCCGCCGCCCACGACTACGTGCCCCGATGATGACGCGATGCCGGGCATGAACATGACCAGAAGGCTCAAAACTCGCCGTGGAATGCAGAAGTTCCGCCATTTTCACAAGCGTCACGGCGATGAGCCAGATGAAGAGCCAGCAGCAGGGTCAACGGCAGGGTCAACGGCAGGGTCAGCGACGGGGTCAACGGCAGGGTCAGCGGCAGGGTCAACGGCAGGGTCAGCGGCAGAGCCAAGCTGCGAGCATCTGACGAAGCGCCATGGTTCGGGAGAGGAGACCGATAGCTACAACGTCATCGAGCCTCAAGCTGGCGTGCAGGCATATGCCCGTGTCAGTGCTGGAATGTATCACGAGGCGTTCTATAAGGCTGCTGCTGAAAGCGGTTTGTTTGTTCTGGGAGCCCAGCACGGTGTAAGTCTCCCCATATTTGTTCTGTTTTGCAGCTTCCTGACGATCAAAGGGCGTTGGCACCATCGGCGGCTGGGCACAGGCTGGTGGACACAACCCGCTCTCCCGCGAATACGGTATGCAAGCAGATAACATCGTGGAGTTCGAAGTTGTCCTCGCAGATGGCACGTTCGTCAAGGCATCTGAGTGCAGCAATCCTGATCTTTTCTGGGCTCTGCGAGGAGGTGGTGGTTCAACTTTCGGTATCGTCACCGCCGCAACTGTCAAGGTCTACCCAACACCACCGATGGCTGTTGGTCGGTTCTTTGTCAACTCCACCACCGACGGGCTCTACGATGCTCTTGCATACTTCCTCCAGAAGGCCCCGGCAATCCGTGAGAAGTATGGCGCTCAGGGCTATTTTTACATGTACCGAAACGCCTTCCAGTCAGTCCTGCACTTCCAAGGCGACGAGGGCACGATTGAGAACGCCAAAGCCGCATTCGAGCCACTGAAGCTAGAGATGGAGAAGCTTGCCGGCTCTAATTCCAGCCAGCCCGCGAAGTATTATCATTACGACACTTATGGGCAATGGTACGCCGCCGAAAACGGTGACGAAGCTATGGAAGAAGCTGGCGCAAGGTGGCTCTCCTGGAACGATGCCAGCGACGGAACCGCGCCAAGTCAGGCAGATGCCATGGCCAACCCCATCGGTCTGATCCCGTGGTCGGTTAAGTACAAGCAAGCCGGCCTGAACAAGCGTGGTGTGAGCAAGCGCGGCTTGAGCAGACGGCATGGGGGTGATGGGGATGGGGATGGTGCCGCTACGGAGGAGATGGGGGGGATGGGAGGGATGGCAGCTCGCCCGATGAGGAGAACATATCTCGACTCCCGCCTCCTGTCCGAAAAGACTGTCAATTCGGTCTCTCAGGCTGAACTGGCCAAGCTCGTCAAGGCCACCTTGAACCCGGTGACGTCTATCCCTGTCGATGGTATGGTTATTCGCGGCTTCTTGTTGGGAGGAGGTAAGCAGGCAGAGCCGGCAATTGATGCTACTGCGATAAGTCCATCATGGAGAGACATGTCGTACCATTTCATTGTTAGTGGTGTGCCTGGTAACAGCCGCCACGACTTCAATATCTCTGCCATTGCCCAAGCCTTCCCAGAATCAGGTGCTTATATCAACGAGGTGAGTTATATGCTTGTCATATTGTACTGCTCTGAATTACAACTAACCTCTCCTAGGCTTCACCTGGCAATCTTAACTGGAAGAAGGTATTCTGGGGCTCCAACTACGCCAAGCTCGAGACCCTCAAGAAAGAGTACGATCCCAAGAACGTCTTTTGGTGCTCTCCCTGTGTCGGTGCAGACGCCTTCACCTACGACGATGAGCGCATCTGCCCTAACCCGAGCTATCCATCCACCGGCTCCGGACCAGCGCCCCAGACTTATGAGGACGAGAACTCCAAGACGGGTATCGCTTCATTGCCAGGTAGCCCCGGATACCCCGACCCGCTTTTACCATACATTCAAGAGTACGTCAAGAGCGGCAAAGTCCCAGCTTCCACCCCAGACTTCAGCAGTTACTGGCCAGAGGCTGCCATGGAGGGTGGTGGTCATGACCACGGCGAGGAAACCGGCGAGGCTGGCGGGCATGCTCACGGTGAGGAGACCACAACTGGCGGCACTGAGGCCGGCGGCCATGCGCACGGCGAGGAAACCACTGGTACTGGGACCAATGGAACCGAGACCGGCGGCCACGCACACGGCGAGGAGACCACCGGTACCGAGACTGGCGGCCACGCACACGGTGAGGAGACCA